CTTCTCCTCTCCTTCTCTCCTCTCCTCTCGTCCCCCTCCTTCTCCTCCTCTCCTCCTCCTTCTAGTCTTCTCCTTCTTCTCCTCTCCTTCTCTCCTCTCCTCTCGTCCTCCTCCTTCTCCTCCTCCTCTCCTCCTCCTTCTAGTCTTCTCCTTCTTCTCCTCTCCTTCTCTCCTCTCCTCTCGTCCTCCTCCTTCTCCTCCTCCTCTCCTCCTCCTTCTAGTCTTCTCCTTCTTCTCCTCTCCTTCTCTCCTCCTCCTCTCCTCTTCTCCTCCTCCTCTCCTCCTCCTTCTAGTCTTCTCCTTCTTCTTCTCCTCTCCTTCTCTCCTCCTCCTCTCCTCTTGTCCTCCTCCTCCTCCTCCTCTCTTCCTCTTCCTCTCCTCCTCCTTCTAGTCTTCTTCTTCTTCTTCTCCTCTCCTTCTCTCCTCCTCTCCTCTCGTCCTCGTCCTCTTTCTCCTCCTCCTCTCCTCCTCCTTCTAGTCTTCTCCTTCTTCTTCTCCTCTCCTTCTCTCCTCCTCTTCTTCTCCTCCTTCTCCTCCTCCTCCCCTCCCCCTCTTCTCCCCTTATCCTCCCCTTTATCCTTTTCTCATTATTTTCCCTTTTCTTTCTATTTTTGTATCTTATATATAATCAAAACACTTGACTAAGAAATAATAGTGATAATATGTTCATATTGTTGCCGCGAAAACTGCTTGGATATCGATAGTCCACGGGAGTCCCACTCCAGGAGGGGGGGGGGAGTCTCTTTAGCTATCAACGCATCTTATTTTTTTCCCCAAGGACAACAATTCACTCACCTTGCCGACAGGTGGAGTCGGGGAGCAGCCGCTCCCAAAACTCTTCACTGGCGTGACTCGAGTCCCCGAACCAATCTTTCGCTCGGGTTTTGCATCGGCTGCCAAGCCCACCTTGGGGTATCCATCACCCCACCCACTCACCGACCGGGGTTTACAGCTCTGAAGTCCCTTTGATTTTCCCACCGTTAAATAAATCCTAATCAGAAGACAGGCACGTGGTGGCTTTACGGGGAGGGGGGGCTCCTCACCTGTGCAAACTGCTTACCTGGGGGTTCGGGGGGGGTGTTGTGAATGGGGGCCACGAGGGGAGGGGGCTCAGTCACGCCCACCAACCTCAGCCTTTCCCAGCGCCTGGCAACGGGGAAGAGGGGTTTTTTCTTGTTTTCTTTCCTCGCGGGAATGAAAAATGGATGGGTGGGTGGGTTGAGGAATTGGGTGGGTGGGATCCTTCGTCTCCCAAGAGGGCGTTGGCGCACCCTCAGGCCAGGCGGCGGGTGAAGTCCCTCGGGGGAGAGCAAAGGGCTCTTTTCTTCCTTTCGTTCTTGTTCGTCCTTTAGTCCCCCTTCTCTCTCTCTTCCTCTCTCTCTCTCTCTCTTCCTCTCTCTCTCTCTTCCTCTCTCTCTCTCTCTCTCTCTTCCTCTCTCTCTCTTCCTCTCTCTCTCTTCCTCTCTCTCTCTCTCT